AGTAACAGTGGTATCCGACAGGGATCCCAGATTCACTTCTCGGTTTTGGAATAGTTTCCAGCAAGCTATGGGAACAAAGCTGTCCCTCAGTACTGCCTTCCACCCCCAAACCGATGGACAATCAGAGAGGACAATCCGTACGCTGGAGGATATGCTCCGAGCTTGTGTCCTTGACTCCGGAGGCCATTGGGACGACCATCTACCCCTGATAGAGTTTGCCTACAACAACAGTTACCAAGCAAGCATCGGCATGGCCCCATACGAGGCGCTATACGGGCGTCCGTGCAGGTCACCGATTTGTTGGGAGGAAGTGGGCGATAGAAGATTGTTTGGCCCGGATTTGGTGGAAGAAATCACGTCCAAGATAGTTAAGATCAAGAAGAACATCCAGACGGCTCAGAGTAGGCAAAAGAGCTATGCTGATACTTGGAGGAGAGACCTGGCCTTTGAGAAAGGTGACCGGGTGTTTCTTAAAGTCACCCCCTTCAAGGGAATTAGTAGGTTCGGCAGAAGGGGAAAATTAAACCCCAGATACATTGGACCCTTTGAAATCTTAGACAAGATTGGTACCACTGCCTACAGACTTGCACTGCCCCCTGAGCTCTCCCGGGTTCACAATATGTTTCATGTATCTATGCTGCGCAAGTACAATCCGGACCCTTCTCATGTCGTGGCTCATGAACCGCTTTCACTCCGAGAGGACTTGTCTTATGAAGAAGTACCGGTCAGTATCACGGACCGAGAAAGCAGAATACTCCGTAACCGGGAAATATCATTTGTAAAAGTCTTGTGGCAGAACCACACGCCTAGGGAGGCCACTTGGGAGCTGGAATCAGAATTTAGGGCCCAATATCCTCATCTGTTTGATCAAGAGTAATGAGGCAAATTTGGGGACCAAATTTCTTTATGGGGGGGAGAGTTGTAGCACCCGGAAAGGAGGAGGGAAAAAAAAAAAAAAAAAAAAAAAAAAAAAAAAAAGGGGGGCCACGTCAGCAGCCACGTCAGCAGCCGCGTCAGCAGCCACGTCAGCAGTCCCGGCCAACCAGGGCCTGCCACGTGGCAAGATCGCGTCACTCCGAAAGGAGCCACGTTGGCGATCCGCGTGGGTGCGATCCGACGGCCCAGATCAATCACGCGATCGGACGGCCCAGATTCAATCGCACGGACGGCCCAGATTCAATCAAAAACGAACGGCCCAGATTAAAACAAAATGAACGGCTGTGATCAAAAGGCAAGGGGTTATAAATAGAACCCCCACACCAGACCACAAACCCTAGCCGCCAGCCGCTCGCCGGAGAAGACGAACCAGAGGCCGACCGCCGCCACCCGCCGCCACTCGCCGCCGCACCGGGGAAATTTCCGACCGCCGATCGAGGTAAATTTCATACCCCCGACTCGTTTTTCCCCACTGATTCCTCCTATGGCCAAATCGAAGCCGAAATCACGGCCAAACGGCCGGAATACGCGGCCGAAGCCCAGCGGCGCCGCCGCGCCCCCTCTCGGTTTTTGCCTCCGACGAGGCCCTTCCCGGCCTCCGTTCGATGCAATTTTTATATTACCGTGATCACCATTCTTTTCTCTACAGGTTGACCGGAGCCGAATCACCAAAACACGAACCTCGCTGGAGAGCCGCTGCACCCGAGAGCGCCGCCGCCGGTAAGCTCCGTTTTTCCGTGATTTTTTGGCCCCCCGAGGGCCCTAGGGTTGTTTTCTGACAAGGACCAATGCGAGTGTGGCCGAATTCGGCCGAAAACGGCCGAAAACAGTCAACCCGAGGCGACTCGCCGCCGCCAGCGGCGGCGCCGTCGCCGGAGCACGGCGGAGCCGCCGTGCCGGAGTTGCGATTTGGTCCGAAAGGGGCCCTGGGCCTAATTTGGATTTTTTTTGGAACACGTGCAGGTACTGTTAGTGTGTTTCAGTTCCCCGGGAAAAAATTCAGGGAAAATTAGGGAAGGCCTGCAGGCGCACTGTGAATCGTATTCGGATCTCGAAAACAAGTAAGGACCCCTCACCCTATTTCCTATCACGGTATTAAAGTTCAAAATGATAAAACGGTATTTCTTGAATTAACGCATGTGTGAAATTGCTTAAGGTTGCTAATGGAGCCTGAGTCTAGTGTGATTGATGATGTACTGTTATTTGGCCTGTTTACAGCTTTGAATGCAAAGTGAGGTTTGATGTGTTCATTTTACAGATTTGTGTGCATGTACTACGTTTTTATTAATTATGGGTTGAATGACTGAAAAACTGATATTGTATGTTGTCTGTTTGGTATGAAGTACGATTTGCTTGTTTAAATGTGAATTGATGATGCGGATTGAGGAAAAGGAAAATGAAAGATTGTGTAGACTGATAATTGTATTATGGGGGTCAGCCTGACTAGATATCCTGGGAGATGGTGGACGGACCGGGTCCGTAGGGAACCCTACCGGGATTGTGGTCTCACATGCCGGACGGGGTATGGAGATCTTATGGTTTTGGCGCCCATACCGGACGGGGTATGGGGACGGCCCGTTTCACCCTCATACCGGACGGGGTATTGAGGTTTATGGTTTTGGCGCCCATACCGGACGGGGTATGGGGACGGCCCGTTTCACCCTCATACCGGACGGGGTATTGAGGTTCATGGTTTTGGCGCCCATACCGGACGGGGTATGGGGACGGCCCTGGAAACTGATTATGAATGTTAAAGGTTAACGGGTAGCGGAGCCCCTATGGACCCCCACGGATACTAGTAGGCTGGTAAATGAGAAAAAAAGGATATGTTGTACAATGATTGAATTACAAGAGGCGTGATAAGTGTTATGTTTTACAGCTTAGATTATTCAATGATTATGATGATGTTATTGTTTTTCTCATATTGTTTTCATAAATTCCACCAAGGTAAGTGGATGGTAAAAGTTTTATTATTGATAAAAGGTTTTATTGTAAATTATGCTCCATTGGTCTTTTGTGTTTTTCTACCCACCTTTACCTCCGTGACGGTGAGATATCGTGATGTTCTTACTGGGCTAGTGTAGCTCACTCCTTATTTAACCATTTCAGATCAGGAAGACATGGTTCCCGAGCCCGTTCCGCAGGAGGACGACGAAGGGGATACCTAGAGACTCTGTAGCCATACTCATAGTTTTATTTTCGGGTTTCTCTCTTAGTTAGTTTAATCTTTTACATTTTAAGTACGTTTCTGGTTTTTCGTGTAAGGGATGTTAACTGAAATTTTGATCTCGCTTCCGCATTCGATATATTTAAATACTCATTTCATTTTAATATTTACGGGGCCGTTACAGTTTTTTTTATAGTTTTTTCTGTTTATTTGCACTTCCAAATACATAGTATAGTATTTTATTTATTGAGTCATGATTCTCAAAATCATAATTTTTTTTTATTTTTTCAAACTACTATTCATTAGTTTTAAGATGGTTTGATAATTTTTTTTTTCATACCCTTAATATTTTTTTATTTATAAAATTACCCTTCAATTTAAATTATTCTACCTGATACTTTTCACTCTTCTTCTTCTTCTTCTCTAGGGTTTCTTTTTCTTGTTCTTCTACCCGTCACTGTTTCAAGAAGAGCCGCACACCTCTTCTTCTTTTTATTTTATTGTGTGTATATATATATTTAATTTATATTTTTTTTTATATAAACATATATTTATATATTCAATTAAATTTATATATTTATATTTTTAATTATATATATGTATATAATATATTTAATTATATCGATTTTATTTTGTATATATATATATATATTTTTTTTATTTTATATATACATAAAATTTATATATTTATATATCTATTTATATATTTAATTATATATAAATACATGTATATAATATTTTAATTATAAATAAACATGTATGTAATATTTTAATTATGTATATGTATATAATATATTTAATTATATATATATTTAATTATATATATATTATATATGTATAAATTTAATTATATATTTATATATCTATATATTTAACGTTATATATTTTTTTAATTTTGATTTATTTATTATTATATACAATAAAATATAAGTAAAATAAATAATTTATTTAACTATATAATTATATCATACTGTCAATGTAAACAAAGACAATTATCTTCTAAATATTGTTAAATTTAAATATTAATGAATTTTACACATATCATACCATACCACACACAACATTAATAAACCACCATGCAAATCATTTAATCAAGCTCTTAAATTTCCTGTATTGAGGATCATATTGTATCTTTACCAATCTGCTTCAAGCTGAACTCTGTTGGACTAATCTAATTTTTTCCTCCTTAATTTTGTGGTTTTAATGGTTAATGAATTTCGTAAAAAACTTGTCAAACCCTATTTTTTGAACCCTGTCCTCAATACTTCATTTCTCAAAAGAACAGGTTTCGATCAGGGTCAAGTTTGAGTTGACGGAGAATAATACCAGGGAAGAACAAGTTCGGGTTTTGCCTATCCAACGTGACCCAATATATATGTATTGTTTTTATTAATATAGATATAAATATAATTAGAAAGATAAATATTTATATTATTAATGTTACTATAATAAATTATTGGGTTGATGCAGGTTAAATTCAACACGGTTTGAAAAAATAAAAAATTATTTTCAAACCCATTAGAGTTTGAATTTATATTTTATAAAGACAGGGATCTGAGTATGGCGAGGAGCGCTGTAAACCTGCACAGGAGAAATCTTTGGAATGCGCCTAAAAATATATGGGTGTAGTTACAGGCCAGGACACGAGAGGAGCGCACATAATGAACTCCAAGCTAGATGGTTTAAAGAATTTTAGGGCTTTTCAAGCTTCCTGGTCTTATGATCTGGGCATTTCCAGATTATAGTATCTCCAATCTAGAATTTTACTAATTTATTGCATATTTTCCTTTAAAATAGAACCTAAAATTTAACAGACATAAGAAGCATTGATGGTTATCAACTGTTTTACTGACCACCTCGTTGTATACATGATCTACAAATAACAAAAAACAATTAATTCCATTCAACGATAATCTGCTGAATACTTGTCTTGTTAAGAAAGACGTGCCAAGATCATATGCATCTGGTTTCATGTTATTTTCCTTCTTGGCTTAAAACAGATGACGAAGATTGCATGAAAATGAAGAACATAATCAACTTTATACAAGGTTTGTTAGTTAAACTCTGAGCGATAAGCACATGAGCTTTTAAATGAAAGTTTCTCTTGCACAAGTCTTCCTTGTTCTGTACATTTGCATTGAGCTTCAACCGTCTTCCGGCTGTTTCTTCACTGTGTTATTCTTGTTGTTGTGCATCCAGACTTTGAAAACCTGCCTTTTGATTCCAACCTCCGCACAGAATCTCTCCACTTGTTCCTCATCTTGCTTGTTGATCCTCCACCCCACTTTCTCTGCAAACTCCAGCATCTTCTCCTTCTGCTCTTGGCTGAACTTCGTCCTGAATCTTTTCTTGGATAAACCGAAAGGAGGAGGAAACGGCTGTACCACTCCCTCGGGATTTAAATCCTCACTTGATGACTCCGCGCCGCCGCCAAAGGCAACGCTCATGGGTGTAGCCGTGTGCATAGGATATTTCTGATGGTGGTGCAGCATGGTAGGGGATGGCAATGGAGGTGGGAGTTGAAGAGGGTTAAGGATCAGATTTCTTCTACTGTTAGAACTGGAACCCAACTGGGTGGTCTCCCCGTCAACCTCTTTGCGGTGGAAGTTGCGGTGGCAATCGCAGGCGGCGCATTTCAAGGCTTCGATTGAGCCATCGTCGCCGCTGGGCATGAACTCACCGCAGCCATCGTAAACGTTTCCTCCAACATTTGCAGCGTGGTTCTTGAGACACTCTCGGTAGCGGACGGTGGATGGTTTGGCGGGGTTGGATCCGACGGAAATGGAGGATATCTTTGAAGTAATGTTACGATCTAATTGTCTGTGAGAATGAGAAGGGGTGTGATCGATGGTTTGAATGGAGGTTAGAATAGTTGTTGTTATGCCATTTTGGTTACCATCTCTTCTTCTTTCTCCACTTGGGGATGAAGATCCTGCAACTCTGATATCTCCTTCTTCCCCTCTAAATTCCATTAACTAATTTATAGACAAATACAAACTCTCTCTCTCTCTCTCTCTATATATATATATATATATATATCTATCTATCTAAATAGAATAAAACTGATGACTTTGTACTAACTGAAGGTATCGAATGAAAGATATTTATATGCAAAAGATAGTGATTAAAACATTTATATGAAATGGGTAAGTAGTGTTTTGGGAGGAGTAGAGAGTGTGAAGAAGGTTGATGAGTAGGATGAAGAAAGAAAGAAAGGGAAAGATAATAAAAGAGATAAGAACTCACAGTTGACTAAGACAGAGATGTAAGTAGCTGAGTTAGTATTGTAGCTGAAGCAGCAGCAGCAGCAGCAGCAGCAGCAGCAGCAGCAGCAAGTTTAGCAGCAAGGTTTAAGCATCTTTAATGGCAAAGTTGAGAGAGAGAGAGAGAGAGAGAGAGAAGTAGTTTCGTGTTTCTGTGGTTCAAACAAGAGACAATTTGGTTGCCTGTGGTGAGGCCGGGAGGAAGGAAGATAAGAGTCAGTCTCTGAGATTGTGATGAGATTTTCTTTTCTTTTCTGTACAAAACAACCGACAACGTCATGTTCATCCCTCTCCCACGCTCTGCCACATCCGGGCCCCACTCTTCCATCTTCATTATTGCTTTCCCTTCCCTTCAATTTTAATACAGACTTTTAATTTACCAAATATTATTTTTCTAAATTTAAAATAGTTACATTATAAATCAATAAAATTTTTTAATAAACACTTGTATAAAAGAGATTTAAAAGCCAATAATATTGGTTTAGATTCCTCTTTAATTTGAGTCTAAATTAAAAAAATATAAAATTATTTTGTTTAGAAAAATCTTTAGGTGAAAGATAATAATAATTCGATAAGGTTTAATGTTATGTTTGTAAAATGCATAAATATATATATTTGTTTTCTAGTAGTTGAGAAAAACAAAAAAGAAATGAAAATGTTTGATTGATGCGACGTAGCTTTTGCAAGAAAGAAAGATAAAAAGCAGTTTAAGAGTGGATTAGTGACTGAACACCCAGAACTGAAAGATCATCAAAACGACATTAATGAATTAGAGAAAGATAAAAAAGGTAAAAAATAGAGAAGGATTTTTGTCGTGTTGCAGGTGATGAGTAAAAAGAAAGAAAGAAAGAAAGAAGATGAAACATGAGGAGGCTGCAATCTGCCTGGCAACAACACCCATGCTTGCCCCCAAGTAATGTTTTCTTTTCTATTAAACTTTGATGATTGGTTCAGTACACCTCCAATTCCTCCTTTTCAATCTCTCCACTTTTTTTAATATATTTCTGTAAAACAACCACTCACTCTCTTGCTTATTTCTAAATATCACTCTTCAAATTAAAACTGGAATTTTCTCATTCCTAAAAACTTGTAATTGAATTTTAACAACATTTTTAAAGAAATCATCTTTCTTCTTGAGATATAATAAATTCCTAAATATGCTCCCACTTATAATACCAACTCATAACATATATTTCTTTTAATTCCTTATTTGAAAATCATGACACTTAACACGAGAAGTTAGGGTGTTTAAACCTCTTAGCTATGTTTTTCGAAAAAAGAATAGTGAGCTAGATACATTGTAAGATAGGTTATGAGAAAAATTTAACTAGTGACAATCTCAAGTGGCTTGCTTGAGTATAGGACAAAGCCATAAAATTGACAGTTAAACCTATATAAATTGTGTTTTATAATTTATTTTGTAAAGTGCGAAAACGCAGTAAAAGTTCAAAATTTACACTCCTTATACAAATAATTTAAAGTGCCAAACAGTATTACGAAATTCACCATTTTGAAAGAAATACAAGAAATAAGGAAATGAACAAAAAATAAAGAATTCTAGCATCTACTCGCAATTCTCTTGCAGATCGGGTTATGGAACCTAGTCCTCTTGATCTGAAATAGTTAAATAAGGGATGAGTTATACTACCTCAGTAAGAATACCACACTATATCACCGACACAGAAGTAAAGGTTGGTACAAAATCAAAAAAACACTAATTGATCGCTAAATTTGGCAAATTCATTTATCAATCATAAAAATCACTTACTGTTTACTTACCGTAGTGAGATTCTTAAAAACCACCTATTAAGACAATAATATAACACTTATCATGATTTCATCATATCCTGAGCATACCTTAGGTAATCCTGTCACGAAGTCCATGGTGATATGTTTCCACTTCCACTTCAGGATTGGTAATGACTGAAGTAGCCTACTTGGGCATTGATACTCTGCATTGACCTGCTGACATACCAAACACTTAGAAACAAAATCAACTATATCTCTTTTCATCCCTTTCCACCAAAATTGAGATCGCATACTTTGGTACATCTTAGTGCTTTCGGGGTGCATGGCGAACTTTGAGCTATGGGTCTCTATCATAATGTCCCTCTTTAACTCACTATCACTTGGAACACCCTGTCCTGGAATTTGAGCAACCCATCAGCGGAGACTCAAAATTCTGAGTTAACTCTCTATTCTGCATCTTTCTTGAGGGCTCCTAGGGTGGAATCGGCGGACTGAGCTTTCCTTATTCTCTAGATTAACTCAAGCTGAACGGTTAGCTGGGCCAAACATGTGACTCTCCTCATGTCCTGAAACCATACATGTTGTGCAGCCCCTATTTGCCTACATTATGAAATCATCAAATGTGTTAATGTACTTCCACTTTTCCTGCTGAGTAGTCGGCTACAATATTGCCCCTACCCGGGTGATACAAAATGTCGCAATCATAATTCTTGAAAAGTTATATCTACATTCTCTTACGCATGTTGAGATCTTTTTGAGTGAATATGTGTTTCAAACTCTTGTGATTGGTATAGATCTAAAAATTCTCCCCATACAAATAATAGCGTCAGGTCTTCAAAGCGTATGTGATTGCAGCAAGCTCTAAGTCATGAGTGGGATAGTTTTTCTAATGACTCTTCAACTGTCTAAACCCATAGGTTATGACATTCCCATGCTACATCAAAACACAACTCAGACCTAGGTAGGAGGCATCACTGTAAACCAGCCAATCCACTCGACAAGGCTAACACAGGAGCAGTAGTCAGCCGCTTATTTAGTTTTAAAAAATTTCTTTCACAGTTCTCGTTCTACTCAAACTTGATATTCTTTTTTGTGAGTCGAGTCAAAGGAGTAGCTAAACTAGAAAATCCTTCTACAAACATGCGGTAATAACCCGTCATTCCTAGAAAACTACGAATTTCTTTAACTGATGTCAATTTTTTCTAACCGAGCACTGCTTCAACCTTTCCTGGGTTCATTGACACTCCATCATTTTATATGATGTGTCCTAGGAAAGTAGTATGTTCAAGCCAGAACTCACACTTACTCAACTTTACATACAGTTTCTTTTCTCTAAGAACCTGTAAAATTTGAGTTAGATAGTGGGCGTGTTCCTCTCTACTTTTTGAATAAACCAAGATATTATCGATGAATACAATAACAAACTGATCTAGAAATTGTCTGAAGACCCTATTCATCAAGTCCATGAAGATGGCTGGAGTATTGGTTAGTCAAAATGCCATGATTAGAAACTCATAGTGTCCGTAGCTGGTTCGAAAGACTGTCTTGGAGATGTTTTCTGCCCTGATTTTTACCTAATGGTAACCTGAACGCAGGTCTATTTTGGAGAAGACTTGAACACCCTGCAACTGATCGAATATGTCATCAATCTTGAGGAGGGGATAATTGTTCTTGATTGTGACTGTGTTCAGACCTTTATAATCAATACATAACCTCAACATCACGTCCCCCTTTCTGGCAAAGGTGACTCTGGCGCTCCAAGGGGACACACTATGTCGAATAAACCAATTATCCTGCAGTTCAGTGATCTGTTTCCTCAATTCCTCCATCTCAATACGGCTCATGCGGTAAGGAGCAATCGAAATGTGCTAAGCTCCTAGATGAAGGTCTATAGCGAATTCAACTTCTCTGTCCACTTGCAGTTCGGGCAGTTCATCCAAAAACATATCTGAAAATTCTCAGACTACCAGAATCTCTTGAATACAAATCTCTTTTTTGGGTTTGCCTAGTTAGAGAAAACAGTAGGGTTAAAGTACTCGATAACGAGAAAATTTGTCGTGAGAAAATAAATACTAAATAGTTTTATTAATTTGTAAATGGTTCCTCATTAGAAAGATTGAATACAACTTTCTTGATAAAACAATCTACGGTAGCGTGATACGCCACTAGCTAGTTCATTCCTAAAATTACATCGAAGTCTCCTGTGTCTAATTCTATTATATCAACACTCAATTTCCTATCTGCTATATCTATGACACAGATTTTGTATACAACTTCCCTTAATAGTGTCATACTCCCAGCAGTAGACACAAATAATACAAAATCAAATTTATCAAGTAATACATTAAATTTTGATGCAAAAATAGGTGAAACAAATGAATGCAATGCACCAATATCAATCAAAATATTAGAAAGATGGTTACAGATAGTGTACATATCCTATATCACGTCCGGATTGGTTTCTGCATCCTGCTGGATGAGATTATAAGTTTTGCCCTAAATAGGAGGATTGACCTGATTCTGGTTCCTCGAGCACTCCCTCGTATAATGTTGGACACTACCACATATGCGACAGATGTTGTTAAGGCAATAGCATAGTCGGTCCCCATGATCCCTACCACAATACTGACGGATCTTAACGTGTCCTGCCACTGGAGCTTGAGGGGGAGTCTAAATCATCAGCCTTGGCCTCTTGTTCTGATGAACAGGTGTAGTAGATACTGGTCTGCGGGGTAGAGCTGAGGGCCTGAGGTTCTCTACTGCTTAAGAGAAGGTACGGAGGCTCCTCTCAACTAATTGTGCCTTGGCTAGGACAGCCAAATAAGTCCTGAGCTCCAACACAAACAACTGTTGTTTGATCTCTAGGCGGAGACTCCACTTGAACCTTCTAGCCTTCCTGCCTTCATCCAACAATATCTCAGGGGAATATCGGCCCAACTCTAGAAACTTGCGAGCATATTTTGACACAGTCATATTCCCCTGGATCAACTGTACAAACTCCATCTCTTTCAAATGTCGGAGATGCTCTGAAAGGTACTCTAAATGAAAGGTCGTCAGAAACTGTTCCCAAGTAATTGGAATAGGCAAGGTGGTCTGTTTGAGTTCCCACCAGCGGCTTGCTTCTCCCATTAGTATGTAGGTAGCAATGGTGACTTTCTGTTCGGGAGTCACTCCCAGGGTCTTGAAAGCCTTCTTTGCCTCTGCTAACCAGTACTCGGCATCTTCAAAACAGGATACCCTGCAAAAGTAAATGGGTTTAATCCCTTATACCTCTTTATGTAGCATGGATCCATCATGGGAGTTAGAATTAGACTTCAGAACTAAATATACCCAGCTGTTTGATTGAGAGTGAGAGAGATAAATTTGAGGGACCAAATTTGTTTTAATATAGAGTGAATCTCGGCCGTTGATCGTGATCTAATCTGGACCATCCATCATGATTTAATCTGAACCGTTCGATC